CTGTCATTATAAGGCAGCTGCTGTAAAGCCATGCTTGCCAATTAAAGCGTTGGTCATACCTGTTCAAGAACAGAGTTTATATCCCTGCCCCTCTCAACTGTGTCACGTCTAATTCTACGAGCAAGCCTCACATCAGCATCTGTAAGTAGTTAATAACAAATGATGAAATTAGACACAGCTTGGAACTTCCATTATCATATAAAATATTAATCTAATAGTATGTTTCAACATTTGCAATTTTATTCCAGGAAATGCGAAAAACGGAATATAGCATCCGATTCTAAGGTATTGTTCGTGCCAAAGAAAAGCAGTTATACCTTGTTTTTACTTAAGTTTTATTCCTTTGAAGAGGAGAGGGAAAGTTATATTTCCATAGGAATATGAAGAATGCAATGTAGTCTACTCTTCCCCTCTACATATTGTCCAAGAAACCATCTATATAGTCCATCCAATTAAAAACAAAAAACACCATGCTTTGCTGTAATAATGAAACAATAAAACTCATTGATTGACCATTTCTACAGTCTCAGCAACTATGCTGTGCATTAGTTGTTTTTAGAAGTTTTTTTCTTTCATATTCTTAAGAAGTGCCTTCCAGTGTTTATTTTACCAAGCATCCACAGAAGCACAACACAATTAATTAGTAACTATAGCTCCACATTGTTTTTCAAAAACAATTTGTAAACTTCCATGTCAACTATGTTTTGAAAAACTAACTACAACCGCAATTTTGAGATTAAAATTAAGGTTTTCAGACTCTCCACAACCACATTACATCCACAATTGCAGACAATTTATCCACAATGTTCCACAACATCAAAGATTGCATCACTGCAACACAACTGCATTTTAAAACCTTTCATATGACTAATGTTGTTGAATGATTAAGATACAAACCTGTGTCTACAAAGATCTTCATGTTCATGAGATCCCGCACATGCTGATCGTGGAATACAAGAATCCCCTCCAATATAATCACATCAGAGGCATTAACCTAAGCAAAGAGCTCCATCTCAACTAAAAGAAATCCTAACAAACCAAAAACAAAATGACATCATTCTTTTGGGTTGAAACCTGGCGAAAACTATCAGAAGAACGCTGATGTTTCTTGAAGTCATAGATGGGAACGTGCACGCCCTGGCCACTAATGAGTTTCCCCATGCACTCTAACAACTGCTCGGTGTCAAAAGCATCTACAAAGAAACTGAACCCACTGAGTGAACTAAACTAAACTCGTTCAAGTCAACCAGTGAGTTTAAACGGAAATGAAAATTACCAGGGTGATCGAAATTGTACTCATGAACACGTTCCAACTCTTCCGGTCTCAGCCCACGATAAAAGGAGTCCTATACATACAAACAAAAAAAAGTAAATTATTTTAGTGCCCAAAATTGGAAAGCGTCTAGTACTAGTCTCTGAAATAAAATAAAAAAATGTCAAATAAATTCCTGAAATCCAAAATGCAGTATTTACTACTAAAATATAATGACAGTTCAGGAACTACTCATTCCATTCCAAACCTATAGTTATTTTAGCTTAGTATAATCAGGAAAACCTTAACTATTACATCTATAGACTAAAATACCCGTATTGAATATAGCATTTTTGTAAAATTTAATGTTTTAATAAGGGTAGCTTAGATTTGAAAAACAACTATAGTTTCGGAACAGAACTAAATTGCTGAAATAGCTATTGTACAACACTGTTTTGGAACGGAGGAAGTATAACGAAAGTGAGCTGTATATCTTGAGAACTAAAATGACAGTAATACTGATTGCAAGGATATTAGGACAGTCTCTCATAGTTTCTGAAACAAAAATAACAGTCCCTCTATTTCTTTCACTTGATTTTTACATAAAGATTATTTAAAATTCTTGATAATAGTGAAGTTTCCCATCTTACATTTTATCACTTCAACATCATGACAAAATCAAAAGAAAGGTTTGGCACATCTCTTTATCATTTGTCAACAAACATAATTTGTTACTTAATTGAAACTCTATTGTTTACTCTACGGTTTTAAACAAAAGATCAATTAAATAATAATTATTATTATAAATTTAAATTAAAAAAAAATGGAAAGAGAATGAAAGCGTGCCTGATTGACTAGGACGACGCGGTGATCGTGAAGCTGCTGAATGATCATGTCGCAGACAGTGGTTTTCCCAGAGGCAGTACCTCCGGAAACTCCTACACACACGTGAATCGCATTCGCTTAATTTTGGAATTGAAACACTGAAAGAAGGAAAAGTGCGGAGAAAAGGAAGAATAATAACCAATAACGAAAGGGCGATTGGGGTGGGAATCCGGGGCTAGGGTTGAATCAGGAGCGGCGGAGGCGGTGGCGGAGGAAGGTAGCAAGCCGTCGAGTCTAAGGCCGGAGAAGTGGGCCCCGGATGCGGCCTCCATGACGTAGTCAATCGACGTCGTTTCTTCAGGCATTGTGGGTTTTTCAGTGTAAGGTCCTTTTTGTTGGTTGGTCACAGCTTCTGTTCCCTTTTTATGTTGCAGCCTTTGCCTGAAAGAGACTCTTATTTTTTTTTTATCACTTCATCTTATCGAAAACTGTTACGAATGCATAACTTTTTAATATACTTATAATTTCAAAAATATTATTTGACGCACCTAAAAACTATATTATTTTTATTTACTTTTTATATAGTTAAAAAATTACAAATATTTACACTTTTATTACTATTTTATTATTATATTTCATGTGAAATGAAAGTAAAAATGTCTCAGTATACTATTACTCTTATAATTTAGTTAAATTTATCTTTCACATTTTTTATTTGTTTTAAATATTTTTTTGTTTTATATTCATTTATGGTAATCATAGTATTTTTAATTTACGTATTTGCTCTTATTTTCAAATGTTAAAACTTGGTGGATTATGTTTAGAACTTTGTTAATTTACTACTTAACAAAAACTTGTAAAAGTATAAAAACGAATATGAAAGGCATCTAAAGTGTGTTTGCTTTTGTGTTATAGCTTATGTTCGACGCATAGATAAATATCTAACCGTTTAAAGGTTTTAATTCCTAAAAGTTGAAAAATGTTTAGTTTCTTTATATGGTTCTCTATGAGACAGAAAAAAAAATAGTCTTTAATATTTTCTTCGTTTAACCATCCTTCTAGTGTAACTTGTTTTTATATTTTATATATAAATACTTATGTTTAGATCTCAAAGTGGTGTAAACATATCGCGAATAAGATACCGACAAAATCAACAATGATGTTTGTAGCAATTTAGATTACTGCTGTCGTAAATTTATTTTATCAGTTTTTGTTTGATCTTTTGTAATTCATTTTTCTGTATTTAAATTTCTTGAACTTTACGTTTTCAGTTTTTGTTTGTAGCAATTTTTCTGTACACTATTCACTATACTATATTTAATGCATCTAATCACACAAACTAAAGTAACAACTTAAGAAGAAAGGTCTGAAACATAATCCTAGACAATGGTTTGAGAAGCTAAAATGGAGAACCTCATATATCTTAATAGCACTACTTCCTATGGTCTTCGCATACTCCTTTCTCAATAACGTCCATGTGTGATGTTGATGACAGAAAATCTACCTTAGCTTCTGCTATCTTCCTTCGTCCAAATTTGATTTCTTAATAGTCTCGCAAACAGTGTATAATTGCTCGCTCAAGTACTGAGGCTGAATCGAATTGATTTGGTTAAAAAAACATATTCAACATCTCAGGCTAAAATTCTCAAGAAACAACTTAATACCTCTAACAATCGTTAAATGTTTTTAAAAGATGGATCATAACAAACTCTACATTTTAGTGTCTACACTTCTAATATTTATGGCGACTATATAATGAATCATTTTTAAATATAAAAATAACAAGTAAAGTTTGTACATGTACAAAAACTAATGAAGTAACTAAATTTTCAATTAAATGTTTTTTTACTCTGGTTTCTGTAAAACTTTATTTATTTAACTTTAGTTTGTTTAAAATTGTAAATTATTGTTTTTAGTCTAAATAAAATGTAATTAAATTTTGCTTTTAGTTTCTGTAAAAAAATATATCCTCCAAAACTTTGAAATCATTTGTCTCTGACATTCATTTAAAATAGATAAATATCGTATTTTATATATCTTAAAAGATTTTTTTAAATATTAATTGTCGATATTATACCATTCAAAATTATTCCTTAATCATACCATTCAAAATGATCACTTAATTTTCCATTCAACACATAACTAATTAACGCGTCACATTCAATAATAATTTTCAACTTTATAATCACAAAAGACAATGTAAAAAAGTTGTGGAACTAGCATGGAAAACACATTGATTCTATCGAAATCACATTTAAACCTTAAAACTTTTTATAAATAAATATATATATATATATATATATTCTTATATATATATATATATATATATATATATATATATATATATATATTAAGGAAACAGCACATCGCTCAGATAAATATGTAGTTTATAATTAGTGTTAACTTTTGATGCACAATTATTACATCGTAAATATCAGAGCTTTGTAAAATACAATAAAATTTGTATTAGCAATATGCTTTTTATATTTTCCACACACTTCAATTTTCTAACAATGTCGTTTGAATATTTTTTTTTTATTATTTGAAACACAAAAATGTTTAGTATTCTAATTGTTAATATTTAACTGTAAGGGTTAAAACTAATTTACTTTTTTATTCTCTCTACAAAACTTACATAGCCATATGTAAGAGTTCATTCTATTATTGTCATAACATACTAATTAGTAGGATGATACAGTAGAAATTATATTCTATTTGAAATCTTTATAAAAGAAGATTACAGAAGATTGTTATAAATTAAATTGATATTTATTTTTGTGAAAATAGTTTTAATTCATCTTTTTGAAAGCAACTTTAAGTTTTAATACATTTTTCTTTGGTTAGAAACAAAATACATGAAAAGCGTCTGTATTTTAATAACTTGTTTTCTGTACAAGATAATGTCATCTATCTAGATTTGAACTGCAAAACGAAATATAGCTGTTTTTCATATTTTTCATTACTATTCAAAGATACCGATAATGGCAACACCAGTTTTTCTCTGTAAATGGAAGATAATGCTGCAACCTAATTTCAGTTAATCACCCAAATGCTGCCCTTGCATCCCAGAAGCTGAAAACACCCAACATCTACCTCGCAGCAATTACTTTGTCAAAAAAATCACTGCTTCTTCCCCACGTTTAGGGTTGAAGTTTTTGATTTTGCTAGAGTCACGTTCGCTCTGGTAAAATGCATTTTCTATGTCCTTTCCAAAGGGAGACATGTCTCCTTTCCACTTCAACGTCAAAAGAAAGCTGCTAAAAAGCCACTGGATTCTTCTTCGGTTGTCTCCAGCTCCTCTCTATTTAAGTTGTTTCTGAAAACAATGTCACAAGATTTGATAAAAATTCAGACTGAGACCTTGGCTCATATTTTATCTTCTTTTCCTGGGCACAAGAGAATTTTTTCCTGGGTAGTTGTTGGAGTTCTTTAGCTGCGGCGTATCCTCCGAGTCTGAATCAGACATTACCGTTACAACCCCAACAGGGGAGCAGGTAGAAACTGAACCTGAAACGGGTTTCTTCTGTGGGTCTGATTTTTCAGATGCTAGTTTTAGCTTCTCACTATTGTCCAAAACAAAAAGGGATGGAAGATTGTCCGATGGTTCAATCTGTTCTAGCTTGATCTCCTCCTTGACCTAAGAACCAACACAGAAAGCAGAGTTGATAATAGTTGCAGAGAAAGTGGTCGAAATATAAATTTAGAAGCTACAGTAATCATGCATGCATCATTAAATAATTGAGTATAAGGCTCACCAGAAGACACTGTACACGTTTAAATTAGCTTATTTAGCAGTAAAAAAAACAAACGTGGCTTGCTATTTGTTGTTTGTCGAAAATAGTAGTAGTAATAATAATAATTTCTAAAACATAAGTAATTTCAAGAATGCTAAAATTGAAACTTACAGCCAAAAAGGAAAAGCAACACAACCTTATCAAAACAGACATCCTTTGAAATATTTGTCACAAGCTCACCTTTTTGTCGGGGCGTGGCTTCCATTCTGACATTGGATAGCCCAGAAGTGGAGCATCAATAGCTCCAGTAGGCAGTTTTAGCACCTCTCCATTGCCCTATCGATCAATTAGCGAGGATTATATTGATTGGAAAGACATTGAAATAGCTCTTTTTCACTTTAGTTTTGTTTTATCCATGTTAGAATAGCATTGAAAGAGGTTGGATATTTTTTTTTCTTTACAACCTTCGCTGTAGAGAGTGCAATAACTTTTCCTTGTCCATCTTTATCTTCATGCTGAAAACATTCCTCCTCCAGGTCAGGAGAAAAACAATTCTCCGAGATATCAATACAGGTGTCATTTTCAACTCCAATGCTTTCTGTTGCTGCGCCTCCAATCTTTAAGTTTTGCGTCTGAGGTACTTCAGTTCCATCCTTAATGGGTACTACATTTGACAACTGTATCATGATCATATACAATTTATCAACATGTAAAAAACCAGTAACTAAAACCAAAGGAAAACAGTCATACAATACTACTTTGGAAGCTGGTAAGGCACTACACAGTAGGGTGGCTTGTAGGTTGAGAGGATGGTGAAGATGGATAAAGAAATAGTTAATATTGGTGAGGGACCCGTAATACTATTTCTCATCTATTAATAGTAATATCTATATCTCTCTCCCCATCTCTTCTCTAGTTCTCTTCACCTAAACAACTTTATTTTTCACTTTATTTCTCATCTATTTCCCATCTATTTCTAGTCATCTCAGCATCTTTCTCCTCGTCTCTTCCCTAGTTCTATTTAAATAAACAATTTTACTTTTCCCTTTATTTCTCATTTATTTTCCCTCTACCTATTTAGTTTCATCTTATTTCTTTCCTCTGCCAAATACACAGGAGAAAAAGTAATTCGAAGAAATTACAGGACAGACAACTATAAAATATTCTAAAAGATGTAAATCAGATAGCTGTGTGGATTTGCTCAATTCAAACCTTTCCCTTTTCACAAACTATCTCATTATTCTTTTTGTTATAAATTATTGTGAACGCAAAATGAGAAAAGATAAAGAGCTTAATCCAACTACACCAACTAAAACCCAACCAAGTTCAATTGGAACTATGTTCATAATTTTATTGATATCACATCACCAGATCCAGTCAACTTAATGTTAGAAGTACCAATGATTAACTTCATCCATTTTAGAACCAAAAAATATGAAGCAGTTACAGAAGGCGGCTACAATATATGTACGAGGCAATTGCTTTCATATGTGACAATAGATAGTTATTTCTTCATGAAGCAATTATTATTTAATGTCAGAAGAGTGTCGTTACTGTTTAAATTATGAGGCAGTTATTGACATCTTTATGCCTGACAGTTATGAGGCAGGTTGTTTATGAATTTGAAAGTGTGCTTAAGAGAACTCAGTTAGGGCTTAGGCCTGTATTTATGGATTTGTCCTTTAATTCTGGTTTTGCTCAGAAATATTATTAATAAAATTATCCCTATTTGTGCATGCAATCTCCTGAGTCTAACAATTTTTATTTTCTTATTGGTACTATTTTTGTGCTACAGTAAGATAACAGTCAGCAGCATACAGCTTGATGTGGCAAGTCACATTATTCCAGTTCATCTTGATCCCTTAATAATTAAGAATAAGTGCAAAGGATAAATTACCGAGAATATTTATTCAAAACAATGCAAATCACTATTAATTACCAAGCAGACATGCTACAGAAAAATAATGCATCATTCAGCAAGGTTTCAACCGATCAACATACTACTTACACTTGCCGCATGTTCTTCCTTCAAACGTAGTGCAGCCTCTTCAAAGGCAGCAGCATTTTGCATAGAATGTCTGACAATGTTAACAATGACATCAAGGCTGCGCTCAACATATGGGAGCTTTGACCTTCCTACTATTCTCCGTAAATTGCTTATAATGACAGGCATCTGCTTAGCTTTGAAATGGGAAAACAAAAACTGAATTGTTGTTTGCTGTGCAAAAGTACTGCGTATTAAACAGAAGACAATAGAGAAGAAGTCTACATAAATTTCATTTACCAATTTCAAGAATAATTTTATTTGGCAATACATAACCAGGCCCCTCATCATCTGCACGTGCAAGACCATCACGCCATTCCCAGAGCCCCTGTGAGACATGCAGTTCATATGAAATATAATGGTTGTGAATCATACAGAAATCTGACGCAGAAGCAGCTATATGTCTTAGAATCTGGACTTTAGACCTAACTTCACCCTCATAAAAGTTAACTCACAAGGCAAAGACTGCTCAAGAAATATATGCTCCATCTAAACCATATTACTACACAAAGTACTTGAGAAAAATAAAAAGATAATATATTTCAGAGTTTGTACAAGACTCTCTTAGGTTCTTATATTTATATATAGAATCTGTTAGATCAATCTGAAGAGATAGACAAAAGAATAGAAAAAATAAAGGCACCTCTAGACCCTAGGTATAGATAGGTACAACCAAAAACAGTTTCTCAAATAATGCCTATTCTGAAACTTCCCCTTAAACTGGAGTATACAAATTGTATATGCCAAGTTTGGAACTAGAGTTTTGATGATCCTTATATCATTTGAGAAATTCATTGAAAATAACATATTTGCCTGCAATAGAAGATGAAGTAAGATCCACAATAGATGATTGTGAGGGAGGATTAGTTTGGACAACTGCAACAGATCAAGAAGAACAACCATGTAATGCATAACACCTGTCAATCTTGTAGCCTAGCTTGTGACATTGGTCACACTTGTGAAGACCCTTTCCTGGCTTGCGATTGTGATCATTAGGTTGAGATGCCAAAGCAAAGGAATCATTGGAGGAAGCAGCTATATCAATGATGTGTTTATTGGGCACACACAAAAGGATGGAACAAGTAGAAGTAAAATTGGACACAACAGGGGAACCTAAAATCTCATCACAGACATAGGAATATTCATCAATAAGTCTACGTAATGCCGACAAGCTAAAGAACTTTGACCATTCCTCTAGTTCTTGGGTGGGAGTACAGGCAGGAGGTAATACCTCATTAAAGTCGTGAAGAAGAGCATGAATTTTACCAAATATTCAGCCATTGGGCCATGACTTCAAGGAGCAGCAATAGTGAGAAGATAGTGACAAACACCATAAAGACATTGAATACAATTAGTGTAAGCACAAAACATTTGTTTTAAAGAAAAGTGAATGGTAGAACGATGATCTCAACAGCGTGGTGGTCGCTTGGTCGAGATGAGCAGGCTGCCGGTAGCCTGAATTGTAACTGGCGACAACAGTAGTGACTCTGGCGGTGGCTGCAGTGCAATGACAGTTGTGATGAAAAAAAAAAACAGAGAACCTAAACTCTAGATATCAAGTTGAATATAATGAAAACTAGGTATAGGGTTAATCTCCCTTGTAGGGTAATATATTTTATAATGAAGAATCATACAGGGAAAATATGGCAAATACACATAAATATAGTAAATATAAGATATTGTTAGATATTATGACTAATAATATCTAACATTTCATTGAGACAGACAAAAGTTCACATCATTCTTTCATTGACAACTTGGTTAATTGACTTAAGGAAATAAGATTGAAGGGACATACACCAACAAGGAGAACAAATTTTATGTTTGTGGAAGGAGAAAAGAAAGCTCGACTAATTCACAATGCACATATTTTGCATATCTATTGACCAAGGTTATGAGATGAAAATTTTTAGGAAAAGAAAAGAAAGAGGACAAAGAGGTATTACTAGAAATATCATCAAAAGCACGAGTCAATTATCCATGAACTTTGACTTTCTACAAATTGTGAAATCCAAGTTTTTGACAAACTGAGATTTGTAGATGGTTGTGGTAGGCTGTTAGATTTCAATCTTAAATATTCTTGATATTCCTTGTCAAAAAACTTTCCAAGAACCACAAATTTTGAGATATTGGTTGTCTAGTTAGGAAGTTCATGGAGAAGAAATTTTCTGGACATGACCCATTCTTTGCCAAATATGTGCATTGAGAATGTTCCCTACCACCAAGTCATCTTCTACTCCCACAACCTTTTTAATTACTTTAAGGGTATTAGCTTCAATTAACATCTTCAATTCTTCAGAAGCATATTGACCTTCAACAATAAAAGTCATCATTTTGCGATTTGTTTGTTTAAATGTTAGCTTGTGGGAAAAACCATACAGCCACTGTATATCACTTGCATAAAAACTCTGGGCCTTCTTCTAAAAGGTTGTGCATGATTTGAAAGTTATGAGGATTCCCAGTTATTGGGTTCCAAAGTTTGCCACAACAGAGCACAAAGTTGCAAGTCTAACTTTTGCTATTGTGCAGTACTTTTTTTGACGAGATCTCATTGACATCTTTTTCCAAGTGATCATGAAACCCTTGACCAATGCTCAACAAATGCTTCCCAAGACAATTTCTCCCATTAAGCTTTTCTAACGTAATGATGCGAGAAACTGAAAAAACAGTTTGGTGGAATCAGCAGCCATTTCTGACCAGAAAAGAAGGGTATAATGAGAACTCTATAAGGCCAAAAAGGGAGCCAAACAACCAACCCTCACAAAAGGGACAAATAGGGGTTGGAATGGAACATAGAGAGGACAATGAACCCAAGCACAGCAACACAATGGCTCTCTAGTGGTTGGAAAGCAGTGCACAGGCAACGGTTGTTTGAGACGCATGATAAAGAGGCTGCATGTGGGTGTACGTGAGACAGTTTCTGCCTTGTTGCTTGGAGAGAAGCTCCAAATATGGTGGTCACGAAATCAAACTGTAATGGCCAGTTGCATATAGTGGTAAGCCAACATTTTCTTCACTGGATAGAACAAGGACAAGCAGAGCGGGATCGATAGACACCTCTAGGACACTAGATCCAGATAGCTACAACTCAAAACAGCTTTTCAATAAAGCCTATTCTAAGCATATTCTAACAAAAGTAACCACCACCCTAAAAGTGGCCACAACTAATGTGCTACGAATGACCACAATTATCGTCATTTTTCAACACCATCCAAAATTGTAGGATTCTGAGGAAAATTGTGATTCTGAGAACATGGCTAGGTTACCCAGATTTGTAACATCCCAATTTTTCTTAACACTTTTAAAGCCATTTATTTATAAACAAATACATAAATTTTAGTAAAATCTTAAGACCTTTATTGAAACTGGGAAAACAAAATCAATTGTCTTTATATAGTAAATTTGAGTGACATGAATAAAAGAAAATTATAAACTAAATTGCTAGACCGGAATCATCCCACTCTCCACTTGTCTATCCTTGTTATGCAGCCAAACCGGCTTCATCATTTGCTCCAATGCTCTCATGCATATATACAATCATTGTAAGTGAAAACCACAACCAAACACAAGAGTATGCTAATATAACAAAGACTGCAATCAGAATTATCAAAATATCACATATATCATAATACATCATTCAATAGATTATGGCACTCTGGCCCTAGCTCTACTCGCCTCAAGACATCATCTTAGATATCTAGAAGCACTCATGCGGAGATGCACACACTCATAGCATTCATGGAGACATGCTCAAACACCGTAGCAGTCATGGGTACCTGCTCAGACACCATAGCAGTCATGGGGACCTGCTTAAACCTTGTAGTAATCATGAGGACCTTCCCATCTCATAGCAGTCATGAGGACCTACCCAAACCCATAGCAATCATGGGGACCTGCCCATCTTGTCTCATAGCATTCGTGGAGACATGCTCATACAAATCAAACATTCAATCAATTCATCAACGCAAACATGACAATGCATATAGATACTCATCAGACAATCAGATTAAATATTAACTTCCCTAACTTGGATTGAGTACGTTAAACTTCAAAGCTTCTCCCTACGTTTGACTCTTACTCTTACTTTTTCCTTCTACTCATCCATGTTTCTTCTCACCAATTAGAACCCTTACTCACATGTTTAGTATATATATTTATAGGTTTCATTCTCATCTTTAAAATCCTAGATACTCTTAAGAAATTTTACGTGATCCTTTTAATAATCATAAAATATCATATATATCTTTTCCTACCTTTCTATTTATGTTTCATAGAAAAAATCTTATAAAATCTCAACCCTTAAGATAAGCCTTGTAATATCCTTGTAGATAAAATAAGAAAATTAGCTCAAAGATAATTCTCATGCACTCTATAATCTTCTAAAATCATTCTCGTATCATCAAAGATTTTATCTCTTAAGAAATATAAAAATATCCATATTATATATCAGTATGCACCTTATTTCCTACTTAATCTTTCTTTAACTGCCAAATCTTTCCTATAATAACAATTTCCATAATAAATACATTCCCAATATTCTCCTTAATAATTCTCTAAATGATAACCTCTTTATAACATATTTCATGTACAAATCCATCACCCAATGATTTAGTTGTCTTCACCCAATGAAATCGAATCATCTAATCCCTCTAGTCCTTCTATTGTTATGGTTGTCTAATACTTATATAGTCTATTCCCCAGTTACCAAGTCATCTAGTGCTCACATTTTCATCAGTAGTCGTCTACTCTAGCTTACACCTAGCATTTACTACCAACAACATTTATTGTGTTCTATATTTATATTTATATAACACACATTTCAGGGGTCTTACAATATCAACAAAAAAAATGGTATTCAAGAGAAAAACATGCTAACATTCTTAGTTTGTGTAATGCCAGAAGAATAGGGGGCATATTGTGCCGAAACAGTGTATTTGAATGACACCATGAAGTTTATGTACATAGACTAATTACATTAATTACACAAAAATAAAAGATACTCAATTTCCTCTAGATCAAATACTATATATCCCTATAGAATGTTTATAAAATAAATGTTGAGTATTTATTTCACAAAGTCAAAGGGAAACTTACTGAAACAACAGCAAGCTGCTGAGCATTAAAACCAGCCCTTCGCAACCTTCATAGAAAACAGTAATAAATTCAACAAAAATACTTCAAAACTCATTTTACATAGAAGTGGCAGAATTGTAGTTTGAAAAAGTTGCTACTAATAAAGAATGCTGAAGTAATTAAAGATTGACAATAGAGAAAAAGCAACAAACCCATATAAATGAAGGAACGAGTTTTCTGTCAGCAGGTCCTTCTCATATAACTGCATGCAGATATCATAACTGCGCTTATAAACCTGTAAGTGAATGGAATTCTGGTTAAAAGGCTGAAAGATAAGATTCATTAAGCCAGCCATTCTTTAGTGTTGTTCTGCGTTTTGATTAAAGATCTATGTTGTTAATAAGTTATTAAATTTGGAAAGAATACTACTATAATTAGCACTAATTAGGGGACAGATTGATTGCAAAATCAGCTATTGGTACGGAAATTGAGATATTTGACAGAGACTCAACGAGAGCTAGCATTTGTTAGTGTTGTAAGTGTTGTAATTAGAGGAAATATCTTCTTAATTAAAGAAGATATCTATAGAATCTTCCTAATTAGAGAAAATAGATGTGTAATCTTCTAGATTATTTTGTTTCCCTATTTTCCTATTTTAGAAGATTAGATTGTTATAAATAGAGCAAAGGAGAATGTAATTGATATGATTGAGAATAATAAAATCATTCTTATTTTCAACTGTAAGCCAACTCATCATGAACCAAAGGGCAAAGCTAGTGGCCAATCTGTTGATAAAACTCTCCTGTATTTGAAATTCACACTATGGAGAGACCTCTTATTCAAAAAAGGTGGGAATTTGACCATGAAAGCCTTACACAGATGTTGACTATGCAGTCATCATCAACTTCAGGCTATTCCATGTTTTTGGGAGAGACTCTTGGCACATGGAAAAACAAGAAAGCAAGATGCAAAGGATTGTCCAAATTTTCAGATGATGAGTGCCAAGTGTATTTGAGACTTAAATATGAAAAAATTCAACCATCAAGTAGAATCTTCTTCGGCACTAACTGTTTTTCAACAATGGATACTTGACTTAGGTGTCCCTAGTCATATTTCTGGTAATAGATCTTCATTCTCATTTATCTATTTTCCAAAAATTCTCATGGATTCAATCTTAATTTGCTCGTACATTCCAATTGTGCTTACAATTTAGTCTCTTTAAAAAAAATATTGCTCTTTAAATTGTTTTGTAACATTTGATGCTAATTCCTTTGTTATACAAGAACATGTCACGGGTCGTCTAAATGGAAAATGAACATAGAGTAAGACTTTATACAGAAAAGTGAGAGAAACACAAAGACGGGAACCAAATCATTAAGAATTGATGATAACATGTTAGGATAGCATTCCCTCAAAAGCATCAAGTAATTTTAACAAGCATTATAATTATGTAAAATATGAATGAATATATCAACTTGAGTTTTTTATTTCATTAGAAAAAGTGTCAATTATAGAAAACAATTTTGATCAATTCTTCATTAATCAAATCCAACTACACCCAAAGTAGTAATCTATTAGGAACCCAATATTGAAAAGAGAAAGAAGAGTAATATTTTTTTATTGAAAAGACTGAAAAGAACACAAAATAGGAGAACACTCTCTCCTCCAAGGGTTTCCCCTTCACGAAGAGATAAAGCTCAATCTACAAAATTATCATCCTCTCCTCCAAGGAACTGATTGGTCTAATTATATAGACCAACTCCCAACTGACAGCACTACCTCCACTTATTTTTTCATCCCACACAGGGCCCCAATGGATAGTTCACATCCCCAAGAAAATGGTGAATCTCCAACTTTAAATTCTTCTCCCTCGTCACCTCCTCCCACGCGTCCTGGTGCAAATGATTCAGCATGGCCTATTGCTCTCAGAAAAGGTACTCGTTCCACTCGAAACCCTCATCCCATTTATAATTTTCTTAGCTATCATCAATTGTCACTCTCCTATTTTTCTTTTTTATCCTTAGTGTCTTCTGTAGTTATACCCAAGAATGTGAAAGAAGCACTTGATCATCCTGGACGGCAACAAGCTATGATTGCAGAAATGCACGCTCTTGACCACAGTATTACTTGGGAGCTGGTGCCCCTTCCCCTGGCAAAAAGGCGGTTGGTTGTCGATGGGTGTATGTAGTTAAAGTCGACCCTGATGGTGAAATTGATCAGCTCAAAGCCCGACTTGTTGCAAAAGGTTACACTTAGGTTTATGGTCTTGATTATTGTGACACTTTCTCTCTTGTAGTCAAGATGTGACTCCTATTAGCCTCTTCTTTGCCATGACAGCCATTCGTTATTGGCCACTTCATCAATTGGATATCAAGAATGCCTTCCTATATGGTGATCTTGAGAAAGAAGTTTATATGGAGCAACCTCCTTGGTTTGTTGCTCAGGGGGAGTCTGGTATGGTATGCAAATTGCATCAATCTCTATATGGCCTCAAGCAATCACCACGTGCTTGGTTTGGAAAGTTTAGCTCCATTGTTCAAAAATTTGGTCTAAAACACAGTGAAGCAAACTATTCAATCTTTTACTATCATTCTTCTCTTGGGAAATGTGTTTACTTAATAGTATACGTTGATGATATTGTCATTACAGGAAATGATGTTGTTGGAATATCTCAACTGAAAGAGACTTGTGTAGACATTTACAATTGGAGTGATCAGTCAATTCATGCAGGCTCCATGTGTTGACCATTGGAATGCTCTCATTCACATTCTAAGGTATGTCAAAAAGGCTCCCAGGCAAGGATTGTTATATGAAGATAAAGGAAGCATTCAAGTCTATGGGTATTGTGATGTAGATTGGGCAGGTCCGCCTATTGATAGACTATCTACTACAAGATACTGTGTTTTTCTAGGAGGAAACATTATTTCATAGAAAAGTAAGAAATGGAATGTAGTAGCTCGATCAATAGCTGAAGCCAAGTATAGGACAATGACATCACTAACATGTGAACTTATATGGATGAAACAATTCCTTCAAGAACTTAACTTTTTTGACATCCATACTATGAAGAAGTATTGCGATAATCATGCTGATGTCCGTCCACATTGCATCAAATCTAGTTTTTCACGAGAAGACTAAACATATAGAAATTGATTGTCATTTTGTTCGTGAAAAGTTGTTGACTAAAGAAATTTGTATTGAGTTTGTTGGGTAAAACGATCAACTCGCAGATGTGTTGACCAAGTCATTAAGGGATCCTCGGGTTGAGTTTATTTGTTCCAAGCTTGGTACATACAATTTGTATGTTCCAGCTTGAGGGGGAGTGTAAGGATATTTACCCTATTCATAATGATTATATTGTGTCAAGGGTTACTCTATTTATCATGATTATATTGTGTCTTGGGTTACCCTATTTATCATGTACTCTTGTATCAATTTATTCTTATAAATAGAAGATTATGAGAGGGATCAATCAAGCCCTTTAGAATTATTTCACAGTTTAATTCTTAAGTGAAACCTTTCCTCATCTCTTGCCTAAGTCCTCTCCATGTTGCCATCCTTATATCCAGTTCGTTGGTCCCCCTCTCCAAAGTATTGTAGCTTCCTTCCATGCTTTCCCTCCTTGATCCGACAGGTCGGACCAATTATTAGAAACCCAGAATTAAAAAGAGAAAGAAGAGTAATATTTTTTATTGAGAAGACTGAAAATAACACAAAATAGGAGAGCACTCTCTCCTCCAAGGGTTTCCCCTTCACAAAGAGCTAAAGCTCAATCTACAAAATTATCATGCTCTCCTCCAAGGAACTGATTAGTCTAATTATATAGACCAACTCCCAACTGACAACATTGTCTCCATTAAGTGAGTCAGTGAATCAACCCGTTTAACCTACTAACCTGTGGTGGATCAGCCCGGGTTTGAATTTTTTTCGACTCACTATCGGATCATCCATTAATGTTTAGTTTCACGCTTGAGATTGTATATACCTCAACGTGAGGAGTGTGTGTTGAAAATCCCACATCAACTAGGGATAAAACAACTTCATAATATATAAGTGGGTGCAAACCTCACCTTATAAGCTGATTTTGTAGGATTAAGTTAGGCTTAAAATCTACTTCTTAACACGACCAAATATTTGTCTACCAATTAGCACTAATTTAGAACAGAGATTGAGTGTCTTTAATTATTCAGAGTTTTATTATTGGGTATCAACAACCATACATAAGTAGAATCATGATTGTATTCCTAACCAAGCAATAATATTCAGATTATTCCTTTTTAATGCTCCCTTTCTGACTATCTAAGATTGAAATATTAACTAGTTTAGCTTGGATAATTTCCCTTTAATGCTTGTTTTTCAACTATCTATGATTGAAATAATGACTAGTTAGTTTAAGTAAGCTTGAAAGTTAAAATATTTCGGACCAAATAAACCAAGGGAAAAAGGAGCATCTAATAATCATATAAACTAATTGATAGATTGCATGGTCAATTAGTTGGTTGGTATCAACTTACCTCCAGTAGAGGATTATCACAACCTTCAGACTCCTTAGACAATGTAAACAATTTGATCCTCATTAAATCATATATATAGAGCAGATAGTGTGTATCCTCTCTGCCATATCTATAATCAGAAAAATAGTTCATTAGATTGTAGTTATAAAAATCACAAGCTTAATATACAAGTCAATATCGCATAAGACCTTAGACTAATCAAATTAATATTTTCACACATAGATGGACTGTGATTAGCAGAAAAACTACAGATAATGTTGTAAATAGGGAATTATTAGGATAAAAATACCGTACTATCTCCCCAGTAAGTAGGAAAATGTCTCTAGAATCTACATATTTATTCATATTTCACTTCTTTTTTTATATTTCTTTTTTAAAGAGAATATGATTGTCACAAATAGAGGTTGAGAATGTAATTAGCATGATTATAATTACTAAAATATTTCTGTATTCCCTCTCACTATTCAAGTTGGTATCACAGCTCCAGATCTTAGGCTCTCTATTGTTGCCGCAGCCACCATCCTCGAAGACAGTGGTAGGATAAAAAGGTGCGTCTCACACTAGAGATCACAATGTTGGTAGTTGTGTCACCTTAAAAAACACCAAACGCCACAATAGTGTCAGCAGATGTAGCCCAAGCACCCTATTCCAACCACACCCACCTATCACCACTGCCGCCACATATAGGCTTGCAGAAGCCCCCTAAGTCCATCCCCAAGGGATGGTGTCATCTTGTTCGACTCCATTTTTCAGTAGATTTGAGTCTTTTACTCCCTTGCAAATATTTCCTTTTTCCCTTTGCAGTTTGCTTTTTTATTTTCTCAATGGTTAAGGCTACATTTACTCCTATGGATCCAAATGATCTTCCAAATGTAGTGGACTCCTACCAATTTGACGCCAAAATTATTTGCGAAAAAGCCGGAACATTCAGAGGATTCTAAAAGGATGGTCAAGATCATACCACATTGATGGTGGAGGACCGAGGTTAAATGAACCTAATTTTGAGATTTGTGCTAGCTAACGAAGATTCACTTATCATGACTTGAATGTGGCATTCAAGGGTTCCCAAGATAATTCAAAATTATATGTTTTATTCTTCTTTTAAAGAAATTTGGGGTGACTTAAATAACACCTTTTGGAAAAGGATTTTGCTGTTTGATATTACATTTAAAGCAAGGTGTTTCTGATAGGATATGGAGAGTCTATGAGAGAAAGAGAAGAGGGAATGAGGAGGTAAGGAGAGTTAATGAAGCCTAACTGTTAATAGTTAGGGGGCGGGAAAAGAGCTCTTATAAAGAGCTGGGGTATTCTTTGTAAAGGGGAGTTTTTGAACATTCATTGTATAGACAAGACTCATTTATCCTGTGGAGGGGGAATTAGGCTCCCTTGGAGGTTTTGGGTTGTACAGACTGAAGAGATCAATACAGAATACTTTGTTTCGCTATCTTTCTTGATTGTTTGGTGTGTGTTAGTGTTGTGTTTAGATAGGTTTCATACTAAGAAACTGATAGGATATAAGATAGGGCGGTGGAACAGTTGGAGAAGGCGGGCAAGGGGCCTATAAATTTAAACCTTTTGTAATTTTGTAGGAGGGGAGTTAGTCAATTGTATACTTTGTACATACCGGTTTCGAACCTGGTGAGAGGGGTTAGGCCCTCGAGTTACACTTGGTACTCAGTGATTGTTACTGTGAATAACATACCCATTGTTTGATTCTTTCTGTCTTGTGTGAGTGCATATCAGTGGTGAGGATGACGGTTAGGTTCTTACACTAAAGATTCCTAACAGAAACCTATCAGTTTCACACCAAACAAGGTTCTCTCTCTATGAAAATATCACGAAACTTTGAATGGGCTGTGGATAAAACTAGATCAGTACCAACATTTGAAGATAAATAAAACAAATGCTGCCCCACATGTTAAAGTTGTTGAAAGAGGAAGAATCTTTAAATTTTTACATGGTCTGAACCATGAATGTGACCTAACCAAGATAGAAATCTTAGGGGGAGAAAACATCTCTATTGGAAGTGTCAAAGGAAAAGAGACTCGGAGGGTTGTCATGCTTAATGGAGGAACCTCCAACACAATGTGGTCTAAACACATGAAATTCATCATATGCCTTCTTGATTTGTCTCTTTTCAATGGTCACAAACAACCTTGGATGCCTTTCTTCATTTTAAACATTCAGCTTGTATCCTGTGTTTGATTTCATTAAATTTCCCATCATTCTTAATCTCCAAGATTTACATCCCAAGCTATTTTCCTCTTATTTCTTGCTATATTTGCAATGCATGTACTCTGTCTTATTCTTAACCACTCGAGTAAAAGCCTTTGATTCCAATATCTCTCCAAAATTCAAGCCTAAACCTAACCCTTTCCCTTGAATCCTCAATCAAATTCAGAGCTATATAATCAGCAGAAGTGATGCATTTAGGGATAATCTTTCATATATATCATTGTTACGCACATCCAAAATATTGAAGTAAAAACTCAAGGTAGTTACCACATCTATACAAGTCTTGTACACGAAATCACAAACAAGTTCCCTTTCCAAAGACTTCCACAACACTTCTTGTTAGATATTAAGATGTGTGTTTTTGTTATTTGGGCTTAGTCTATTCTGTATTAGGGCATTGGCCCATATCTTACAATATAAATAAACTACCCTATGTGTATGCTAAACACACAAGGGATATTTTCTCCCAATCTTCTCTATTTCTCATATGGTATCTAGAGCACAGGAATAGTTCCAGTCAACTCCACGGTCTCC